TACTTTATTTATACATTAAAACACACTATTATTTTGTGAGAAATTGAAAATTGAATTCTGCCTAATTTTAATTTTCACGTCAACCTTTATATCTTCACATGTACACTCTTTTGCAAAAAAATCTAAGCACCGAGAAGGACTTTTGCGATAGCGAAGAAATTTGGTATGCAAAAACATCTTGATCGAATGTGCAAATGATCAAAGTTTCAAGGCAAATGAACAGGAATTGCGATTATCACGCATTTCTAGTGTGCAATTCGCAAAGTATGAATTCAAGTTACAGAGGCCGAAAATTTTCTTTTTTTGTTGCTGCCATTGTAATTCCGTAAAGAAGCAACTAAAAATGCCATTACGACGATATCGAAGACCTTACAGACAACTAAACGACTTCGAACGTGATCGTATTGTAGGGTTGTGTGAAGCTGTGTGGCCATACCGAGCAATAGGCCGCCAACTGCAGCGTACAGACACTGCTGTGCAAAGATGTTGGCAGCAATGGTTGCTACAAGGAAATTGCTGACGAAATGTAGGCTCTGGAAGGCCAAGGAGCACAAAGGCGAGGCAAGATAGGATGATTGTTCACTATGCCCGAACTGCCCCAACGGTATCATTTTCAGCTATTTAACGCACTACAGCCACGTCTCGTCCACCATCTCACGGTGCTTGTCCGAGTCGAGGTTACGCTCACAGAGGCCTTTAAGACGTTTGCCTTGAACCCCACAACATCGGCGGAGTCGTCTGGAGTGGTGTCGCAGCCGAGCATCATGGCTGCCAACAGACTGCCATCGTATAGTGTTCAGCGATGAATCCCGCTTCACTCTTGAAGCAGAAGACCACCGTGTTCGTGTCTGGAGAGGACGGGGCCAGCGGTCCCAATCAGCGTTTGTTTTACAAAGGCATACAGCCATAACCCGTGGTGTGATTGTGTGGGGCGCTATTTCTTATGACAGCAGGTCACCTTTAGTCATTCTCCGTACATCTTTAACAGCTCAACGATATGTTGATACCATCCTGCGGCCGGTTGCATGACTCTTCATGGCACGTCATCTTGGGGCCATTTTCCGACAAGATAATGCCAGGCCACATACCGTTCGCATATCTCTGAGTGTCTCCGTGCGGTTGATAAGCTTCCTTGCCCAGCAAGGTCCCCAGACCTTTCACCAATCGAGCATGTCTGGGACATAGTAGGCCGCTAGATTCAGGCACCACAAAATATCGCGGATCTGGAGCGACAACTGATGAATGCCTGGCAGAATGTGTCGCAGGATGACATTAGAAACCTCTACCACTCCTTGTCTCGACGAATTCAAGCATGCATTGACTCCAGGGGCGGTTCGACCAACTACGAATTTGAACGCTCAATGGGTGATTGTGAGCCATGAACAGGTACTATGACCTTGATTTTTTAATCATTTTATTATCTGTGTATAAGCGGATACACGTATTCAATTTCATCAAAAACAACCACTTCCTTCATGGTGCTTCGATTTTTTTTCCAAAAGAGTGTATTATAGTTGAATGTGAACTGCTATTAAAAGTTAAATTTTAGAAAAGATTGCTATATTTTTTATGCTAATGATATTGTACAAACAGAACCATTAAAAGCTTAAAGAATCTGGCTCCAGTGGTGAGTCCCTATGTGACCTCTCTCTCTGCATCCTGAATAGTAACTTTACCTGCGTTCTTCCGTGTGCCTTCAGAAGGCCATGTCTTGGCATTGCCAACGGCAATTTCTAGGTGTTCAAGTACATGACTTCTCTTTCTCTATATACTTGTAAACAGACAGGACATTCCGAAAATACGATAGCGTGTATATAAAATGAACAGTATAATAGGATCTCTCTTAACCGTTAGCAAGAGGATCTTGCTCATTAGAAATTTTCCCGCACAATTGAATATAAATTTCCAGAATTTATTTTAACTTAAATCGCAGCATGCTAAATCTGTTGGTTGTTGTGTTTTTTGATCTGTTGGCCACAACTAAATAAATAACATTGAAAAGTGTACAGATTATTTAAAATTAAAACACATATACATAATGTATATTCCAAAAAAATTAAAAGACATTTTAAAATTATCGTACATATTATCACATAAAAGTTTCCAATTTCTTAGTGCGAAGGCACAGAACTTCGCATATCTGCCTGCCGTAGTTTAAACCTGCCTGCAGTAGTTTAGTGTCTGCCTGCCGTAGTTTTTCTGTCGTCGTAGTTTTAAAATTTTCTGTGTATACAATGCAAACTTGACAACATTATATATACTGACATACAAGAGCATTTCTTGACAAGTGTTATGAAAGTCTGGAATCCTTCGTTAGCTTCCTTCCACGTAACTTTCTGGACCTGGGTTACCTCACTACCAAATTTCTCCTTTTTTTAGTGCATGCTCGATTATTTCGCAATCATATTGAAGGAAGAAGTGAGAAGTAATCATCTTGAAGTGTGACAATAACAGAACGGTCTACATCCATCCAAGCCTACACTTCCTCTTCATCAACAGTTACCTTCTCCGAATATGTACGTAAATCCAAGATGTCTGATACGAACGGCAGACATGAGAATCTTTGTCACTCGATTCATCATCTACGAACCTGATCATAGACCATAATATACACAACCACCAACATAATGTTTTGTAAATCGTTTCCATCAAGAGATTGTTCATCAATTGTTCGGAAAATAATGCAGATTATCTTCAGAGTTCACACATCGATGCATAAAAAGGAGTTGGTAGTTTAGATTCTGGATAAGTTCTCGGTCAGATAGGGCTTTTATGTTGGGCGACGAAGTATAACAGACGTTTTCTTCAGGTTTACATACATTTTTTTATCTCATAACCTTAAATTTCGAATTTAAATTTACATTTTCAAAAGTACCATTATTTTGATATTATCATTTAATTCAATACCGGTTACGAGAGATTTTACTGTACTAGAAGGTTTTTTTATTACACTCATGATATTGGCGTTAAATAAACTTGCTGCCACTGGTGGATTCCAAAAGAAACAAGACAAAGCCTAATTACTGCTTAGGCCCCAAAATCATCGAATCGCAAATCCTTATTAAAACAAAGCGAACGTTAGAAGGCTGTGCGAGGACTGCAAACCATTTTAATTCGGCCGTTATTAAAGGAAAATGTATTATTTTAATTATATTTATTATATTTATTGCTGTTGAATATTGTCACATATTATTAAAATGCTAAACTCAGAGATGCGTTTTACTTCCTACTTAGGCTGCGAGTAAATACAGAAAATTATCTGTTCGGGAAAAATGATAACGAGCGCAAAACCAGCCAAATAAAGATATTTCTTCATAGTCTTAAAGATAGAGAAAGTCCACATGGATGTTTCTTCGGATGAGAAAAAGAACACACAAGGATATCTACCTACCGCAACTATTAACTCTAAAAAAGCAGGAAGAGACTCAGACTATAGCAAGAAGTGGTATTCTCATCAACTGAGGTGAAACAAGTGAGTAGCTCTGTTCAGTAATGATGTCTATGCTCTATTTCAGAACTGTTTTTTGAAACTACAAGAAACTGTTTGCTTGGTAACTGATGAAAGGTAAAGAATGCGAAGGCTAGCTGCTTAAAGGGAAGGATGCCTTCATGGAAGACTTTTCCTCCAGTGGAACGGCTTTAGACATCAGAGTGCCTGTGTTCGAGACCCTATTCTTAATCGAATAAACTTATACTTTTGAATAAATTCCAAAGTAACTTAGATAAATGATCTAAATAATACAATTATTATTAATATTTTTAACTACTCATATTTTAGGTAATAAGTGAAGCGGCTAGATATTTAAAGAAACTAGGGAAAGCAGTCGAGTTATGGAAAGCCGCAAGAGCTGGTGTATAGCACATAAAACAGTAAGAAACAATCACTCAGTGCCAACAAAAAAGAGCTTAATAATGTACATATTTCAATTAATGCAAATACGTTTGAAAACAACTTTCAATTAATACAAATACATTTTGTATTTAGTTAATAGTAATCAACATAAATAATATAGGTAATTAAGTTTCTGCCACAGTATTGGGATTTAATATTGCCATTGTCCTTTTACTATTATTTGCAGTACAATAATTATAAATTCTAATTTCAGAATTGAGAACAGTCCTCATCTTAATGTGAAAGTTTTTCGCTAATTGATAATAATAGGTGCGAAGCTGTACTATTTTAAATTCCTCATGGACTGTAACATTACGCACATACTATGGTGCACCAGTAATTTGGCGGAGAACAGAGTTCTGGCGTTGTTTGTAATTTTTTTCTATATGACTTGCAGGAATAGGCCCAGACTATATGGATGATTTTTCTAAGGGATGGCTTGTATTTATATTACACAAGGTGAAATGCACAAAAGAAAAATTCATGCAGCCAGCCGGGCCCAGTTGAATTCTCATTGTTTGGTTGTCTTAGCTCTGAAAGTAGAGGAAAGAGCTGACTGTTGTAGACTGTTTCTTCAAATTTGAATTCCCCCTCAATAAATAAATAAATAAAGTTCTGAGGTGAAAGAAGGACAAGGAAAGTTTCAGAAGCGGAAGATTAGAAAGACTAACACTAAAGTGAACTGAAAAAGTGTCAGACCGTGTACACAAATATTTTTATAACTATCTATAAATATTTTATAAATGTATTAATAAATATCTAGCATTTCGAACACTGTGATGTTTATAATAGCGTTCAAAATTTTGGAATCGGGAATTGATTAATAACCTATGGAAAACAGTGTCAGTATTGTAACATAAGAATGATTTACATAACAAACGCAACTGCAGTGTGGGATTGGGATTATTCAATTATGGCAAAGCACACGAGGACTATCTACCTAAAGGGAGAGGTGCCTTCGTGGAGGACTTCCTAAGTAACTGCAGTGTGAATTATATTCCTTATGCGATCTATCATTGTATTACTGCGTATGTTATTTCTATTTTATACTGAATATGTTTTTCGATACGTGTTAAGTAAAATATTCTGTAACTAAAATAACTAACAGTGAAACAGAAGCAAAATATTTTTTACTTAGTTATATTTACACATTGCGTTAATTCTCCAAAAGAATGAAAGTGTGTCTCAGCAAAAAATATGCTTTTATTGCACAAGAAAAAGGAACTTCTCTGTATATTTTTTCACGCGTTTTTTTTCTCTTGCTTTCACTTTTGAGACAGCAAAAACAAGAACCGAAATGTTCCTTTCTTTGGTCTCTCGAAGTTCAGGAAGCGACTCAAAATGACAGAACTGTTTTGTGAGTGAGATTAAAAATAAACTTTGGGTTAGCATTTGCAAGCGTCGATGACGGCACATACTTCTGTGAATATTTCGTCAACCGTACCGGTTGCAGGAATCTGAAAAAGAAAAAAGCATTTCATTAAATTATGAAATAATTCTTGGTAAACTAAATTACGTTTTAGTTCTAAAGAGTGAGGTACGTCAGAATATGAGAAACGCAGAAGCATTTTTATCCACACCTTTCATTCTGATTCATGAAATCCGTACGTATTATGAAGTCTCACATTCTTCATTTTCTTTTTCAGGTGTCATTTCTTAACACTTTGAAGAACGTATGGGCTCACCCGTAAATGAATATCTAACATTTTAAAGATATAGCAGTTTTATTTTTAAGTTTAATCACTATTGTTAGAATGAAATGGAATTTGGACATTTTCTCGGGTAGTAATGCAAATAAGAGGAATTTTGATCAACAAGTACTTTATAAAAGTATTCCTTCTCAGGGAAATTGCGTTTGAGTGCAGTGCTAAATGGAGCTTCTTCTAAATGTATAGTACAGCCAGATAAGACCATTATTAACCTTCATAATATAAGACTACTGAACACAGATATTTCGTTCTTGTTCCGTTATTGGAGATTAAATGGATTTCCTAAGTAGTGTTTCCATGGTTTCCACCATGCTTTAATATGAATTCATTTTGTTTCAGAATGTGGTTTATGAAGATTTTCTATTTAAGGTCTTTCAGAATGCACTTTATGAAGATTTCCTGTTTAAGGCCTAAGAACTTAAATAGGAGTCAAAGCTCATGAAAGTTCTTTGTCGTCATAATACTTAATTATAAACATTAATTTCATTCTTGCAGCGAATATTAGCAGAAAAAGTTGTAAAAACTCTTTTTTTCTTCTGTATACAAAATAAGCACGAGGCAGTTTCCTATATAAAAGGTTTTCAGAAATGCAACTCTCTAAAGACAGGAACCTATCATTTACTTATTATGGAAGAATAAGTAAATGAAGGTTATAAATAATTATAACCTTCATTTACTTTATGAATTGTTTTTATGATTATGAAGTACTAGTAAAAAAAATTTTTTAGTAGTATGAGTAATAGTAAAAATAATAAAAAATTAGTATTCTTTTTAACTAACGTTTTATGAATTTTTTACTAGTATTTACTAGTATTATTTAATTTTTTTGTGCTAATACAGTAACCTATCATTTATTATTATGGAATTATTATCAAATAAAACAGCGTTTTTATTTAATAAATCATACTATAAAACATGTTTGTCATGACTGAAAGGCATAAAGCATCTGTTAATTTTACATTTTTAATTGTGGAATAATGCAAATTCCGCATTTATTAAAATTTGAAGAACGCTTTCTCCTCCTTTATAGTAAAAGAAAATTAGTTAATTTATAGATCTCAAAGCGGAAAGGTATGCAATGTTCACATAACAACACAATAACATAATAAACAAATTTAATGTATCTACGATTATGACTGTAATGATATGGGTATGGTATCTAAGTATGTCATTTTTGAGATACTTAGCTACTTATTTCTTTCTAAAAGTGACATAACTGGTTTGCGCAATGTTTCAAAATTTCGATTGTATATCTTTTCCATGACAACGGCACACTCGACATACTTAAGATTTCCAGGATGTCTGCAAAGCTGATAGTTCTATGATCTACCAGCTTATCAGTTATCCTGAAATTCTAATCAATATCATGATAACTTCACTATCGATCAAATACGACAATCTCCTTATCTATATGAGCTTTAATTGAAAAATAAATAACGAAATTTAGATTCAGCAGATTCCACTTTTAGAGAGATATACCAAATATTGTGTTATTAATAGGCAGTTTTATACATCATAATATTCTAGGAAAAATAAAGTATACTAAAATCTGGACCAATTATTAAATTTCAGTTCACTCCAGTTTAAAACAATTGCAATAAACCCACAATCCTTTTTCTTTTAACGAAAATATTTGCTATCAGCAAGCGAAATGTAAAGGAAGCCAATAAAATTAGAGCGGTTTCAACCGAACTATAGCCGGTCTTTGTCTAAGTTTGTAGAGTCATTAAGTTATTTCGAAGCAGGGGAGATGAAAAATGAGCAATGCTCTCGCCGGGACATGCGCCAAGCGTGCTGACCACTACACTCCAAAGGCATGCTAAGAAGGCGGGGAGAAACACCTTATATACTCCCCTTTTAAAGGGCGATTGGGAATTAAGCGACCTAATCGCCACATCTTGATGGTGGAGAATCGTCATCCACCATCTTTTTTTATTTAGTTCGGGCGCCAGTGTAGAGACATTAGGTTATTAGACATTAAGATTACATTCAATTCATTCGAATTCCTATTTAAATTGTTATTACGTTATGCTAGTCAATACTATATATATATATATATATATATATATATATATACGTGGACATATCTTATTATTATATCTAGAAATTCGTTAGTACATCATTATCACTTAAAATTATGGGAATGCTAACCTGAAGGATTAAATCTCTTGTTATAAAAATCCATCATTACTATCTATTGCAGGATAGCCAAAAATATCGAACAGTGATTTAAAAAAACTACCAAATTCTGTAAATTATGTTAGAAATTCCGAGAAATCTTCTTCGAAAGATTAGTTTTCGGATTTATTCAATATTGTAAAGTTCAACAATCTGCGACGAGATGATTAGGTTGACCATCAAACAAAGATTTGTCAGAAAAATTCAGCACAAACTAAACATACGTTTATACCAAATTTTGAAACTATTCCTGTGAAATATTATATTGCCATTGCAAACACCTATGTGTAAAAATGCTTAAAGATTCGAGTCCATAAAAGAAGCTCAAAGATTTATTTCAAGGTTTAACCCAAACAAATATAAAAATGAAATTAAATAAAACAGTTATAAATTCAAAAAAAATGTATCTACAATTGTATCTCGTTCTGTCTGATGTTTAAAGATGAAAATTTTGCGATTATTAATTTAAACGCCAAACGAGGATTTATACTAAAAATTCAACACTTAGTTAAAAAATTCCGTATTTTCTCGTCTGTATCCCTATTTTTTCATTACTTTCATCTTACCAAAACCGAGGGGAAATTATGCGAATAATTAAAGCTCCGAAAGTGCAGTCACAATAAGAACATAGCATGAAAATTATTCACGAATAAATTATTAATAACTATGACAGTACGGATTAGGTCATTTTTTTAATTTGACAAAGAACGTGAGAGCTATCTGCCTAAGAGGAGAGATACCTTCGTGGAGGAGTTTTGAAACTGGCTTTAATCATATTGCACAAAGGGAAAAACACGAAAAACAACCATACAGCCAGCCCGTACGCCTGGGCTGCTCGAACACAGAACGAACTACCAGTATCCAGCAGTCTTTAACTGCTCGGTTTTAGAGACATTAGGATTTTTAGAAGCGGGAGACGTGACAAATGAGCAATGCCCTCGCCGGGAATCGAACCGCGGACCTCTGGAATATGCGCCCAGCGTGCAGACCACCCACACTACGAAGGCATGCTAAGAAGGTGGGAGAAATGCCTTATACGGTCACTGGTGGGGCTAAATTCCTGCAGAATTCACGTGTAAACGTGAAATTTTTCATAAAAACTGTATTGTATGTTTCATAAAAACTGTATTGTAATGTAGAATCGGATAAGAATTTATTTTAATATCTGATCCAAACAAAGGAACCAAATTAAATAAAAACGGGTAATAAATAGGTAGGTCATAAAAACTTTTTAACTGTGTATCTTGAGACATACACTCATGGAAAGAAGGAAAGAAAAAAAAAAAAAGATATTGATTATACGCTAGAAAAGCTATTGGTTATTTGAACACACAATGTGATTCGAACTAATAATGCGCAAGAAACGGGAAGCGGATCAAAAAATCAAATCGCATGAACTGATACATAATCGAAATCGATTTACGTCTTTTACATTTAATCTATTTATCCCTCTGTTATACTATTATACTTCCTTTATTCCTTATTACATATCGTTTACTTAAATGCATTTTTCATTCGAAAGCAAAAATATATTCAAATTTATTTTCTCAGTAAAGTTATCACATTCAGGCAAACTAAAATGAAAGCAAACCTAATCCTGCAAGCGTCATCCCGGTAGGCGCGTTTCCTAACTGTACATTGTTATCGCAACCGTGAGAGGGGCTTCTCACACAGAACCGTGGGTTTGCAAAAGTTACTTTTGTTAGAAACAAACCCAAACACACATTTAGAGAGTCAACTATCAAAATCTGTTGTCTCGTCAGGAATTTTGCCACCCATTTGCTATTGTCGATACAATTTTGTTGTTTAATCTTATTTGTGAAATAATTAAAATTATAGTGATATATATGAAAATTTCAGAAATTTAGAAAGAACATGGAAATATGTTGGACATTCCATATAAATTTATAAAATGGACTTTTGTTTCATCTTTTCATGAAATATCCAAGTGAAGTGAACGAATTTACAGTAGAAACCTGTTGTTATTTTAGAAGCCACTCCCATGTTTGTGATACCAATGTGCAAATTCCGCCCCGTTGTGCCAACTTGGTCAGGACGGTAATGCCACATAGCTATAAGAAAGATCACAGCAAAGAATGAAGCAATTTGACCAGTACTATGCTCAGACAAGCCTGTTGAAAGACAGACCTATATCAAGACAATGTCTTTAAGTTAGATTATTTGGATACAGCAAAGCACACAGGCTGTGCATTAGGAAAAGGATGTCTTCGTAGAAGATCTTTTCGAATGGAAACTGGTTCATATTCACGTTACAAACGAGGAAAACCATGAAAAATACCCATACAGTCAGCCCGTTCGCCTAAACTCGAATCCAGGTTGAACTACAAGTTTTCTGCGATTTTAACCGCTGTTAAGCCCCTCTATCTTTATGAGGCTTTAGTTCAAATTGCCTTTACTTCACAGAAATACTTTTGCTGTTCCCTGCTCAAATAATGAACAAGTGCCCAGAGGCACAAAATCCTGTCGGATTACCAAGAATCGAAAATCCGAATATAAATTCAGTGCCCTACTACTTAAATACTTGTGTCCTGACAAAAATAATCAGATTC